TACCTCCAATTCACCTTCCCCCCTCCTTCTCTTCGCTCCTCCTCCCTCCTACTGCCATTCACTTCTCTCCCTCCTCCTCCCCCTACGTCTTCACTCTCCCCCTCCTCCCTCTTCTCCTCCTCCTTCATCACCTTCTCCTGCTCCTCCCCTCCTACTCCATCACCGTCTCCCCTCCTCCTACCTCTTCCTCCTTTCTCCATCACCTTCTCCCCTCCATCGTCTCCCTATCTCCATTCATCATCTCCCCTCCTCCTCCTCCATCATCTTTTCCTCCTCCATCCCCCTACTCCATCACCTCTCTCTCCTCCTGCTCCTCCTTCCATCATCCTTCTCTCCTCCTCCTCCTCCTCCTCCTCATCCTCCTCCTCCTCCATCACTTTCTCGCCTTCCTCCTCCTCCATCACCTCTTCTCGCCTGCCCTCCTCCTCCTTCTCCGTCTCCTCCTCTCTTCTCGCTCCATCAACCTTCTTCCTCCTCCTCTCCTCCCCATCACCTCCCCTCCTCCTCCTCCTCCTGCCCATCACCTTCTCTCCTCCTCCTCCTCCTAACCCTCCTAAATGGGCAGCCGGGTTAAATATAATGTGCGGCGAACAATTCCAGACCGTCCCTGAGATTACCCCAGTCTGAATTTACCCACCTATGGGCACACAGGATATAATTTGCAGGGGTAATTTCAGACTGGGGGTAATCTCAGAACCGTGACACCAGTCTGAGATTACCACAGTCTGAATTTACCCACCTATGGGCACACAGATATAATTTGCAGGGGTAATTTTCAGACTGGCGATTAATCGCAGACCGTGACACCGGTCTGAGATTACCCGTCTGAATTTACCCACCTATGGGCACACAGATATAATTTGCAGAGTTAATTTCAGACTGGGGGTAATCTCAGACCGTGACAACCAGCCTGAGATTACCACAGTCTGAATTACCCCACTATGGGCACACAGGATATAATTTGCAGGGGTAATTTCAGACTGGGGGTAATCTCAGACCGTGACACCATGCAGTCTGAGATTACCACAGTCTGAATTTACCCACCTATGGGCACACAGGATATAATTTGCAGGGGTAATTTCAGACTGGGGGTAATCTCAGACGTACCGTGACACCGGTCTGAGATTACTCCAGTCTGAATTTACCCACCTACTGCCAGACTAATCTCAGACTGTGGCCGCGGCATGCAGTCTCATTATCCAGCGCTACTGCGCATGCGTCACGCATGCGCACGAGGTGCTAGGGGTAATTTCAGACTGGGGGTAATCTCAGACCGTGACACAGGCAGTACCCCGGGGGACATAGACCCTCTCCGCCTCAGCAATACTACTAACCGTACTACTAGTAGTAGTACTAGTAGTAGTACTACTACTACTACTAGCTAGGGTTGCATTTGTGCTAGACCGAATAATTCTGTCCCATTAACCTTTTTTATATTTTGGTGAGGGTTATATAAGGGCCAATATAGGCCAATATAACCCTCACCAAAATATAAAAAAGGTTATATGGGACAGAATTATTCGGTCTACATTTGTGCATGTATTGTGTAACGCCTCTCTTGTTGGGTTACATTATTCTTGACAGACAACTCAATTATGAATATAGACAACCACGGACAATTGAAACCAGCGGCAGATTATGTGCGGAAATTTCTGGTGATTCCAAACAATAATATTTAGAAAATTCAAGAGAGGGTGCCAAGATACAAGTGTCAAAAGTCAATATACAAACGGTTGGCTTTACAATAAAGCTGTTCTATCTTATTATATTTACCATTCGAGATTTCACACGAGATTTCACGCGAAATCGGCGGGAACCTCGTCAACTAATAATTTTATTTACCATTCAGATTTCACAACGAGAATTTCAGCGAAATCGGCGGGAACCTCGTCAACTAATAATTTTATTTAGCCATTCGAGATTTCACGACGAGATTTCACGCGAAATCGGCGGGAACCTCGTCAACTAACCGCCTTTTGCGCTGTCGATTGCCGATGGCAGCACTGTTTCGTGGGCTGTGCGCTACAAAACAAGTGATCACAGGTCAACTAACTTCTGCTGGCAACAACACTTTCTGCTGAGCAAAAGGTCTTTGTCTAATAAATATGCGAGCTGGACTTAACGACTGCTGGAGCTGGAATTTAACGACTTGAAAGAGAAGCTGAAAAAGAAATGCGCGGGTTTCTGGTAGAAAGGCTGAGAATAATAGAGGGAGCGGAGCTCTACACTCTAGTCTAGAGTAAAGCTAGAGTCTGACTACGAGAGCTACTAATACTATACCTGATAACCTCACTGTCCTCTCAGTACCTGATATTACTAGTGATAGTGATACTATCAGGAGTAGATAATAGGAAATTCCCCATTATCTACTTTTGATATTATCATAGAAATAATATAGATAACCATATGGTTACCTATATTATTCTAATGCATATTATGCTCACTTTATAATATTTTTTACACTAGATGGCGCCAACACGCATCAAATTTGGCCCATGACATCATTTCCTAATGCGTACGACGTCATAACCGAGATACAGACAGAAACATGCGCCAAAACTCTCGATCCAAGAAATATTTTCACGAAATTGAAAAAAAACTTTCTTATGTGAAGAATATAATTCTTATTTAAAATTATTTCGGGGTGAATGAAACTTACCAAAAACGTAACGAAATTTAGTCGCGGGAGACTGAAATTTTGGGATAAAGACTCGGAGGTAAATGAGATGAAATTGTTAAAAAAAAGCACTGCAGTCGCGTGTAGTATGCGATTGATGCGTCGTTGCGTTGTGTTTTCTGCAGCACCGGAGGTGTCGTCAGTGATATCCGAACAGCTTAGCAACTCGTCCTCTAGCGGCAGTGACAGCGACAGTGATTCGGCATCGTCCGGCAGTGATTCAGACATGGAGACCGTGCCGGCGGGGGGTGAGTCGACCCGCGATCGCACGCGCACATCAATACAAGTAAACAGAATAGTGAAGTAGAACAGCAGTAAAAGTAGAAAACAAAAAAAGACGAAGAAACTAGAACAGCAAGTGAACCGAGTAGTGAAGTTTAGTAGAATAACAGAAGCCGCCTCGTAGCAGTGCTGCATGAGTCATCTGATAAGAATGAATAAATAATTAAATGTGATAATTAATGATGTAATCATATGAGCTTATTTGGGTATGACCTGGTTAATTGCATTTATCCTCTATAATGATCTTGAGCGTGTATTGTACACTCTCTTACTTTCCTCAAAGCTGTCTAACTACCTCGATTTTGCAGCTCTGTTTCCTGAAACCCAGCGACCACAATCATCCGGTTCGCACATGACCACAGCAAGTCATTCGATCCCAGTCGCAAGTCATGAGAACGAGAAGGGCTACAGCCAACTCAGTAAGTCACATCGATGCATTGGACTGCTGTGATGTGGTCGAATAGATATCATGAAAAGATGTACAGCATCATTACCTGAATAAATGAATATCTAGAAAAATGGACGTTAGCAAATTTGTACACCTTCTCGAACGAACTGTTCTTCATGAATTGTAACTGCGCTACGATCCAGTCACACAAACGAACAAGCTTGTGATGACCAGTAATCTTCCTATCTACTCACGACTGGAAAAAAATCCATGTGATAAAGCTAAATGATAATTCGCACGTACGCGTCTCCAGCCCATCCTTGTATTTCTTCAGGCGAAGACCTTCAACTTAGCGAATCCGGGAGTGACAGCGACAGCGACTGATGCCATCGGGACTGTTGTATGGACGTGACGGCCATGACGATGGAAGACTTGATTGTCCATGAAGCGTGAATGCGCAAGCAAGCGGGCAGAGAGAGTGGAGACAGTGAGTGAGCAGAGGGAGTGGAGACAGTGAGTGAGCAGAGGGAGTGGAGACAGTGAGTAGGCAGAGAGCGTCCTTACAATACTCTGCAGCTGGGCCTGCATACCTCCCAAAAGTGACGCGTCGTCGACCGACAATGTCGGACGCGCTCGGCAGCTTCAAGCACTAAAGGTGATAAATCATCAAGCTAAACCCTGAAACTATAACCCTAAGCCCTTAATCCATAACCATCCACGTCCACGATAGCCAGCTTAATAATCAACCACAAAGATACGCATCAGCTTTAGTGCCTGAGGCTGGCGAGCGCTTCCGATTTGGTCGTCGACGACGCGTCACTTTTGGGAGGAGCTTGCGAGCACTGTCGATTGGTCGGTTCGACGATGCGTCACGTTTGGGAGGTATGCAGCCTACCTCGAGTCTTACAAATCCTAAACAACCAAGCCGTATCTATCTTTTTAGTAATCCCACGTTGGCAAGGTGTACTAGGTACTGGCACAGAATAATAACATTAGTAACACAGGCCGCTTGAAGGCTCAAGTTCAGAAGAGTGCGTACGCTAAGAGCGAGAGGCGACGCAATGCGAAGCGACCGGCTTCGCTCTTAGTCTTATACTCTTGCTTGAAACTTGAGGCGTCCAAGGGCCTGTGATTAGTATTACAGGGTAGCATATATGCGCATTAATTATTAATGGCATAGTTAACCCGACCAGGCTGTGTGATTTAAGGCCAGCAATCACACCAGTAAGCTATGCTCTCACGATCGCCCCGTCCTCAAAAAATTGTGCCCGAGCGTGGTGAAGCGTGTTGAGAGCGTGCCAATTGGGCGCCTCAGCGCGCGATACTGATACGATTAATTACGTCCATATACTAAGCGATTTGAGTGGCGTCTTTACCCCATCTCATTGCGCTCAACAAGCTTTCAGCCACGCCAAGCACCACGCACCGAGCATCACGCTTTGGACTGCGGCGGACTGCGTCTTTATTCGCGACCATCAGATCGTGTTGCGTTCGAACGACGCTTGCAGCGCGCCTGATAAGCAACGGCTTCACCGCGCGGCCTCAACTGGCGCGGCCAATCATCGCGCGACGACTGCGCTGGCAACGATGCATATAATACGCCGCGGCCGCGTTCTATACAATCATCATTCATTCTGCCGTGCTGTGCAAGATTAACATCAAGTATAATTAAGATCAACATTATCGAACTTAAAATGCAGATTAACATGCACAAGATTATTTCTACGGACAGCGAACTATGGGCCGCCAAAAAGACAAGGGGAGAGGCCCGTGGGCTTTGGCAATGAGGGCTGGCAAATCAAGTAGTTCGAGTTTGTCCTTCTACGCAAACCATGGCATGGAGTAAAGTGTTGCTCAATCCATAGTGGACACTGAAAACTGGTGGGGTGGCCAGGGCAGCACCCAAATTATACCCGCAAGTTTTGCAGGACGTGACTGAGCGTAACCTACACGTAATGCGAAACCACAACGGTGTGGTCTGAGCGTGTTGGGCCGTAGTACCAAATCGTAGTACGAACGGCAGTCGAGCTGCTAGAGCGCACCATGGTCATAGCGGAGAGCGTGGTCAGTCGAGAGACATCTGCCAGGACGTAGTAACAGACGGTGATGAAAACGTATTAACATCGTGCTGAGACGGGGCGACAATTTTCACAGCGACCCACACCTTGCGAGTACGCGTTGTGAATACGTCACATTAAGTTCGTACTACGCTTGCAGTTACGTGAGTACTACGCCTTCCACGTTCCTAAATGACGCGCCGCACTGCGCTGGATTTCCGGCCACGCTCGCACCACGATTAATTTTGAAGCATGTTCAAAGTTTTGGCCACGCTCTGTCCACGGACATGCTGAACTGCAGCCGCGGCTCGACCCACGATCGCAGCTACGTCCACTATACGTCCACGACTGGGCGTTCTACCGTTTTCCACCACGCTCTAGAGCGTGAATACGAGGCGTAGTGGAGATCGGGCCCTGGTGTGACTCGGGGTATTAACGTCCAATATATACGAGGTCTCCCTAACCCTAGGGAAGGAGGATCTTCTTGTTTCTTGGAGGCTATGCATAGGTCACATTAGGTGTGAGAAATGATCACTTCCTAAGTCGGATCTGGCACCACGTTTACTTTAGTCTTAGGTTTAGTAATCCCATAAAACGACCGTAGATATTAATAATGACGTTATGGCACAATGAGTAGGCCTCTATGTATCATTTTCGCTAACAAGTATTATTCAGTTAAGCTTACATTTTCAAACGCCAAAAATATCGAAGTATGCAAACTAAATAATGGAACATCAACACACTAGATGAAGCAAGCTCGCTGACTGCTTGTCGATTGCCGCCGATGGGCCGCACTGTTCGTGCTGTGCGCTACAAAACGAAGTGATCACAGGTCAACGTAACACAACAGCTTTCTGCATGAGCAAAAGGTCTTTGTCTAGTAAAATATGCGAGCTGGACTTAAACGACTGCTGAGCTGGAATTTAAGCGGACTTGAAAAGAGAAGCTGAAAAGAGAAATTGCGCGGGTTTTGGTAGAAAGGCTGAGATAATTAGAGGGAGCGGAGGGCTATACTGCTAGTCTTGGTTACCGTGCTAGACGCAGTGCCCGGGAAAAGTCTCCGGACCGCGGGCCGGCATCTCGGCCCGCGAGTGTTCAAATCGGCCCGCGAAAGGTTTTGGAGAATGTGATGAAACCACGACTTTCGTTAAATTTTTTACAGAAATTTACCCGGAAAAAAATAACAGTACTACTGTACAACCTGTCAAAGGCAGTACAGAGTTCTTAACAGCCAGTTAATCGATTGACAAGGATGTTGAGTCATAAAGCGCTAAGACACACTACCGATTCTGTACGCTGCCCGGGCAGCGTATATGTTCGTTCCGAAAGTTTAGAAACGCCGTACCTAGTTCCCGCGGACAGCTGGACACACTGTATCGGTGTCAAACCGCTTCAAGCTCTCGTTGCTACACTTGATTGGCTGCTAAAAACAATCGCGTTCGAAATGTTTCGAAAACGATGATTCATTGCTGGGCTCGCTGGCGCTAGCTGGTGAAGCGCATGCAAGCGCATGCGCCGTACGCAAGCGATTTTTAATTTTTTTAATTTTAAGTGTTTCTCAGAATAATTTTTAGCCAATGTAAGAAATGGCATCCAAGTAAACGTAAAGTTGACTTCCGAAACTGCGTGCGTTTTAATGAGGACTGGACAAGAGACTATTTTTTTTGTAGAGAAGCAGCAGGAAACACTTGTCTGGGGCCTTATTATGCACAGAATACGATCGCTGTTTGCGCAAATGTAAGCAATGTCAAACGTCATTACATGTCAAAACACTCTTCCAAGTTTGATGAGTTGCAAGGAGAACAAAGAGCTGTGAAAGTCAAAGAACTGAAGGGAAAGCTGTCATCTCAACAAAGTGTTTTACCAAATCAGACGGAGAATTCCAAAAAATCCACAAAGAGCCGGCTACGTATGTTTCAGAGATAATTGCAAAGAGGATGAAACCATTTCAGTGACGGTGAATTTGTGAAAGCGTG